AACGCCGTAGAGCCCGGCACCGATGGTGCGATCCAACATACAGATTTATCGGTAGTTTTGGTAACCCTGATTGCAAGTGATCATTTTTAATTTCAGTTTATTTACGAGCTGTAAGGTGCGTGAAAGAGCTCGGCACGGTCGGTGTTGATGTTGGTTCACTCGCAACTATTTTTGCAAGCAATTAAATGTTTTCGACCGAAATTGAAACCGAAAGTGTATCAAAAGAGCTTCTGAACGTGTTTCGCAGTTGGGTGTGGTGAAATTCGTGCATTCCCGGTTGATTTTCAGTGGTAATTCCGTATCACAAAATTGCTCACCGAGTTCCTTTCTTTTTGCCGTTCGAAGACGACGGGTTTGCTTTCGCGAGAGTGACGTTTATTCGATGCGTTTCTTTGCACTGATGTGTTTTTTTGTAACCAGCGGTGTGTAAGTGTGCTTGTGATTTTCATTGCCTACCGGGAGGCCGGTTGACCGTGTTTGGATGTTACGCTTTCGGCGTGTAGTTCTATCGAGAGTCTCGTCACCGAAGGAGTGGGCTCAACTCGTAATGGTCGTGATTCACATTCTAAACGTTTTGGGGCTAAAATTGGTGATGGACAAAGTTTAAAAGAGGGAACAATTATTTATCGTCAACGTGGAACTAAAATTCACCCTGGTGAAAATGTAGGACGTGGTGGTGATGACACCTAATTTGTGCGAGTTTGAACACGGTCCGGTTGGTAAATTAGCTGGGGAAAGTGCTGATAATGTGTCCACCGCGAGCTTTGGTGGTGATTCGGTGGCCGACGTTGCCGTGAATCAACGAGTTTACGGCTTGCAAAAGTGCTCGTCTGGTCTTTCGCTAGTGTCGGAGATTGTGAGCAAGCTGAAGGATGCCTCGCTAGATACGCCCAAGACTGGACGGGCGGTAGCTGGTGGCCAGGAATGGTTCCTGGGGAAAGTACTAGACGCGAACCTCCTCCCCGATGGCCATGGAAATGCAGGAAGTATTACAACAAAGGTAATTGCTATTAGAATTTTTTGCAAACAGTGACAGATAGCAGACGTGAAGCTCAAGTGGAGGTGCCGGGAAAAGATGTTATATCCTAGACAAATGGTAAGTTACAAATTCGCTGTTGCCGTTTTCATAGGCGCCGTCGTATTCGCCGTAGGCAGTACCGTAAGTATATTTAAAATTAACCATCAAACGCTGAAACTATATGAAGTATCGCTATATGAAGTATGTTGTTCATTACATACCAAGTGAAATTCGAGAACGTAATTTCATTTGAATAGCTTGTTTAACCAGGGCTTAAACAATCGTCACGTCGGTCATAGCTTGTGTAACAATCCCTTTTGCTACGCCCGCTCAGCCCACAAGTGACTCTAACCACACTCTGGGTCGGCTTCTTTCCGCCGAGGTTTGCGAAATTAGAGGAAAAACCACAAGACAATTAATTTGATTACTGACGGCGATTTATTGAATTTTTGCCCTAACGGTCCCTAACAGCCCTATCTCTTCCTATCAATAATTACTCACAGTTTCTGTTTGTGTGTGGTGTCAGTGTCGGGCCCGTCGATGAACGCTCGCTGGTTGGTTCCGCAACGGATTGCACGATGTCTCCGTGCCTAGTCGAATCCTTGGCCTCCTTCCTTGCCGTTCGCGCCAATCGTGCCGATCTGGCCTCCCCGATATCTGGTGATGATCGTTCGTGACAATCGTGCCGACTGCCCCGATTCCACCGTGTGCGTCGATTACGCTGATTGTACGGATCACACTGGTCTCGTTCTCTTGGATTCGCAGGTTCAGAGTCTCGCTTCGTCCACTTATGTCAGCTTACCGTTTTTGTATGGCAGTGACGACTCTGGTGGTTTCGTAGAACCTTTCAACCGCTTTATGGAGAATAAATTCCTTCACCAACTTTTTCTTCGTGAGCTAAGGTGTGGGTGCTTTCCTGGTGCTCAAGCAAGTGACCGAGCCAATATATTTGCAATCCTCAGGAACGGGCGAATAGGCCTCTTTCTGTGGTTGTTGTAGGTAGCATCCACCCATCAGGCAGTACTGCTACCAAAAATACCAGCGTTTAGGGGGGTATTGTGGGTGTGTCGTATTGTTGAGGCTGCGTACAAAACCTTCACAGTGTGTTGCGTTTTTTTAAATTTAGTTGTTAGCCGTCTTTTGCCTCCTAGATTAATTTTGCATGATACCTAGTTTAATTTATTTCGTTGCATGAATTTTGTTATTTATATAGCTTTTATATATTATTTTAGTTTGAATTAAGTCCCTATTTAGCTAGTTAAGGTTTTATTTACGATTTTTCCTCTATACACATAAACAAATCCCCATTTGTGGTAAGGATACTATGGACTGAGTGAACGAACGGAGTGACTTGTCACACTTGTTATGATTGCCTGAACCATGCGTAAAAAGAAAATCAAAACATCGAACAACGCGTGAAAGTGGAACTTAATGAAGGCCTAGGTACTGTTTCGTAGCTTTCAGTTTTAGGATTAGAAAGATCGTCGGTTGCAGTGGCTTGCTGAGCTTACTGAGCAAAAAAAAAAAGCGATCCCAGATCCTTTCATATTAGAAATGTATGGTGAGATCGCTTGTTTATCGTGTATTTTGTAAAACTTTTCACTGTCGTCGGTGCCGGGTTTGAAAAGTTATTACTACTTGAGTAACGGTATAATGTAATATGAGGGGCTCGGTGGCCTCAGAGCAACCGGTTTTGCTTACTGAGCAGAACTTAATGATTCTAATCTCAAACCCATCCACATTCAAGATTCGTTAATCGTTTTATTTGTTAACATGACTACATGGTAATAACAGCAACTCGATGACTAAAAAGGAGCTCGTCTGCCTAGTGGCAAACGTTTTTGCTTACTGAGAAGAAGACCGTGGGTTCAATCCCAAGCTCCTTCGCGTTATATGATCGTTAGGACATAAATTCAGCTTATCGTTTACCAAAACGAACCCAGCTGCAAACCCAACTCTCTTACCCAACATCCCTGTGATTCCTCGTGGAAGTGCAGAGAACTCCTCGGCTTCCATTAAATCGAGTGTCACGTCAACACATTCCTCCCTATTCCTTTCTTGACCTGCGTTCGGGGGCGGCCGGCACTGGTGTTGCCTAGTTTGAGATCACCAGTTTTTACACATTGAGGATGATTGCTAGTCCCAAGCATCGTCTATTGGTTCTCTGTGTAATTACAGCTAATCTGGCAATAACAGAGTAACAACCGTGGGCGGTTATTCATGCTCATGCCTACATACCGATTGAAAAACCGACGATGAGATTGGAAAATGTATGTGTGAGTGCGTGAGCTGGTACGTGTGTGTGAATGTGTGTTAAGATGCAATTTAAAGCTATTCGGCTCCGTAGTGTTTTATTAAGACATTTAAACCATCCCAAATACAATAACTAAAAAAAATAAAATTATATTTTTTTCCTATTAACACAATTTTAAACAGCACTTCCATTTACCGGTAACCAAACGAACCACCACAAGCTCTAGAATGAATGTTTCTCTGTCGTGTTGGGGGTGGAGCATGCTCATTTTCCCAATTATCTTTCCATTGTACCGAAAATGCTACCCCAAGCGCGGTTTCCGCCTGTTTGATTAACAAAAAGTGCAATTCATTTTTTACTCCTCTTATGCAGATTGCAAGTGCCCTTGTTGCAATTTCATATTCCTCCCGAATGCATTCCCTCATTGAAAAATCAGGACAAATGGAGGACAGTGGAATGAAAAAAAAAAATCGCTGAATCGAACATTTAATCAAATCGAACCTGATTTCGGTTCGCCATACAAGGGAACGAACGGTACCTAGGCAAATATTTTACCGCGTGATTCAATTTCTCCGTATTCCAACAATATCACATATGGGTTTGACAGACGGAGACAGGCGGAAAGGTCATAAATGGGATGGGAACACTCTCAGTCAGTCGGTACAAGTTGTTTGCAAATTATTATTCCACATTCGGTCGTTCGTTTGTTCATTGTAGATGTCGCGAGATGATCAATTTCAATTCTCGGCAATGGCAAACAACCATCCGATGTATGTTATGTTAACTATGCTTGAGTTTCTGTAAGTTTACCCCGGGAACATTATCTCTGCGACATCTATCACATCATTGTTTTGCGCCTTTCGTTGGGAAACCAGCCCGGGTCAGCTGAATCGGCAAAAATGTATCATATTTACTCTGGGAGATGTGGACTGGAGGAAAGGAAGCTGGGTAAATCCTTGAAAGATCTGACTCCGATTACGTTCGGTTGATTTTGGACTGAACTGGGAGGCGAGGAGACCGATGCAAAGTGATGGATGAAAGCCGAAAGAGTAGCAGCAGTGGTGGCAGTCAGCGGGGATTAAGCCGAGACTGATGGAAGCAAAAATCGACAAATATGTACACAATGCATCATATGACTGCCGTTGGTTGAGCCCCCGACGGAGAACAGTTACAAGTCACGCTGCAGTGGATTACTTGAGTCTGGTGCAGGGGGTCCATCACTAGTAATTAAGAATAAATTTGCATGCTAGCACAAATAGCGATTGTTTGCAGAAGCATCGTAAATAATTTCATTATCTTATTTTTTCAAAATAAAAAGTTCACGATGCACCATCCATCGGCCCCTCGGTTGGTCCGAGCTCCGTCTGTCACACTGCACCAGAACAGCATGTTTGTTTTGCATCCAACAACTCTGTATCTTGCATCCCTCAGACATCAGATTCTGATTCTGAGAGCCGAGATAAAATAAACACCGAAGCCGAAGTATCACAACAAAACAACGAAACCGGAATCACACAACCATAACCATGTAGTTCACGAGAAGAATAAAAGCAAACGAACGGAGATTATCAAACTCTCCGATATCACACGAAATGGCTCACATATCCGGATTCTCGGTCGTGGTAGTGATGGTGGTGGTGGTGATGTTGGGACACATTTCGATTCATCCTTCCCTTTGGGATCGAATTTCAAACGATTTTAAATTTGAAAACGAATAGCAAGACTTACCATTTGTCAACCGGATCGATGAGACCAACAGACAGAGCCAAAGCGCCGTCGTCATTCGAACGTTGGTACTGGTGGTTATGGTTCGATAGTGCATTCCCATTGCGGGACGAGTCTTTTCCGCTTCCGGTTCTTGCACCTTGGTAGTTGAACACCTTTCACTTATTCACTTAAAACCGCGAGCTCTTGCAGCGGAGATTGCTATCAGCGTCGATTGTCCGTCACAGGAAATGCGCTTTGCCGCTTGATAAAGTTATTCAACACTCAATCCGTCATTACTGGGAGCTGGGTTTCGTTGGTTCGATGGAGTTCTTGGTTATGTTTTAACAGTGGCAATCGGTGAGCTGTCAGATGGCTATTCTGGAAATATAAAAAAAAGCAGAAAATAAGCGATTAGGCGACCAGTAGAAATGGGAATCATTATCATAAGGACAAGGTTGATGGGGCCTCCCTTAGCTCAGTCGGTAAAGATACAGCCACAAAGGAAGACCATGCTGGAGGTGGCTGGTTTCGATTCCCGGTCTGTCTAGGAATTTTTCGGCTTGGAAAAAGTCTTGACTTTCTTGAGCATAGAATATGATTTTACTTGCCACATAATTATGCTAATGCAAAAATGGTGCAGGCATTGGAAGCTCTCAATTAATATCTGTGGAAGTGCATCTGGAACACTAATAGCGAGTTCGTTTATTATTCAGTTCCAACCTGGATCGGGTATCTGCTTGTTTTCTGACAAACGTCAGTTTGCTCGTTTTGTTTATAAAATCTAGCTCAGGTTGAGGTCCACACTGACAAAAAGTTCGGTTTCGCACTGGGTTGGAACTGGTGTTAACCCCGGTAATAAACGAATTCGCTATAAGTTGAAAGCTCACAATAAGCTAATTTGGGTAAATTCAAAGGTTTTCTTGCACTAATACTTATAATTTACCCCGAGTTCTGCACTAATACGTGTACTGGAGGGCGTATGTTGTTCCATTTTCTTCTGTTCCTGGGAGTGGAAAAGGGAGAGGTCAAAATCTGAACATCCAGGTAATGTCAAAAAACCACAGTGAAGGATACATTTATGCATACAAACAGGCCGCCTTTAACGAGCATGGAAAGCTGGATATGCGATAATCAATTCAGTGCCAACATTTCAAAGGGGCGTAATTGCATTTGCAAACAATGGCTTTAGTCGTCGATTTCTCGCGAATGAAAGCACACTCATGAAAATGAATGACACCAACACGCAGAGGAATGTTTCCTGTATCAGCTGGCATTTGTAATTTGGAGGGGTGGGTTTTCATTTGCGAGAAATCTACGTCTAAAACCATTGTTTACAATAGCAATTACGCCCCTTTGAAATGTGTGTCACCTAGTGTTCAGATTTGCAATTACAAAACTGATGATGTACTAAAATATATTCCATACGATTTGACAGGTAGCAAAACGTAATTATCATTTTTCACATCATTTGCAATGCTAGGAAGAATGAGAGGAAGGTTGACATGAGGTACACACTTAGAAATACTTAATCTTACACGTGACGTAATCCATCTTTGACATAAAGGATGAGACGTAAACAAACATTTCATGTAAAATGATGTGCTCCGAGACTGAAAAGTTCGAAAGTACGTTTGATTGAGCTGAATTTCGCGTCTATTATGACTCAATTTTATGTCAAAATTGACGCTCGTATTTGTCAGTCTCAGAGCACCTAAATTTACATCAATTTTTCTAAGTGTGTTCATCAAGGCAGTTGCATTAATTTCAAGAAAACTGCGAGAAGTGTTAAGATGTTCCTAAGTCTTCAAGAATGTTTAGAGAACTTCATAGAATTTTAGAGATTATTAGATATTTTACGGTAGTTTCATTATATTCAGGACAGTTTTGAGTAGCTCGAGAGAACTTCACAGCAGTCCCATTAATTTCAGAAAAAAAAAAATGCCTGTACTAAGGAATGTTCCGAAACATTGTAGGGTCACCAGGCAAGTATTACGAATATCAGAAAAATTGCCGAGACTTCAGAACATATGGGCAACTTTAAAGAGATAGTTTCTAAAACTAAAAAAATAAATAAATTAACTAAATTACCAGAAAATTCGGGAACTTTTAAAAAATACCAAGGAATTCAGGGAAGTCTAGACAACTTAGCGAAGTTCAGAGATCTTTTGTGCAGTTCAAATAACATCAGCAAAGTATGTCAAACATCCGGTAAGTCTAGAATTTTGGGAAGGTTTTAAGGTGTTGGAGAATTAGTTTCGATAATTTAAGGGCAGTTCTATTAACTTCAGAAAAATTTCGAGCACTTAGTTGAAAATCACCAAAACACATTAATTAGTTTTTTCTTATTTCAGGAAAATATTGGGAATCTTCGGGAAATTACGCAAATTTCATGGATGTCTAAATTATTCCAGGAAAGTTTTGAAAATTTAGGAAAAATCTTGATTTTCAAAGAAGTCCAGTGAGCTTCAAGAATACTCCGGATACTTCATAGAAGCTTGTAGAGTTCAAACTATTCAATAATGAGGTGATGATTTGAATTACTATTTATTTGTAGAATCCATCTACTCCCAATAGCCCAAAACGTCAATTGTCTGTGTTACTGCATTGTACCAAACCACCGTCCTCTATTCGGATGAAACCTCAGACCATTAAATTCGAAACATCGGAATCGCCTTTTCGAATAATAGCTGCAAGCGGATGACGGTTGTTTGTTGCAATCAGATGATTTTCATTGAACATTGATATCCCTCCCCTTGGCTAGTTTTTAATATGAACGTTGGTGGGCGGGCCTATTCTTATGCTTCATAATGGAGCGTTGGAGACGGTTGGTTTAGGTCCGGCATCGTTGGCTCATGACGTGGCAGAAGAGCGTCATGAGCATGCTATGAGGATTAATGAGCTTCCTCTCTCTGATGAACCACTGCATGATAATCTAGTCTAGCAGTGATAGTATCACACTTGTTACTCCTTTGTTTGAGAGCCGCGTTGTAGTACGCTTACGTATAGGCACTGACGTTGGGTGCGATACTGGCGGTTTTTTTTTTCTGCGAATCACACTTATTTTATTTATTTTTACACAGATAGATTTATTTGGGTTTGCACGGGAATTTTACTATTGAAATATATCAGAAAGTGAAAAACAGTGCTTCTTCTATTTGCGTGACAAGCTTTCATTGTTGTTTTCATTGAAGTATTACTCATAGAACAATGTTAAACACTATTTTTGTACATGGTATTGTAATTAATCTCATATGTGCTTCATTTTGATTTGGGATAAGTGTTTGAACTATGGCTCGAGGTTTCCACTGTGGCGTGCTTCTATTGTGACATATCCATACGTAATTTTGTGGGACGAGCATATACCCTATATAATTTAGAAATCAGCTAGGAAACTAACTTCCAAGCGAAGCATTTTAGTCGCTTGAAGGTGTCACCTGGGACGAACTAATATATAATAAATATAGGTCAAAGTCAAAAACGTCTTGAAACACGTTAAATTTTAGATTACAAATCTAGTACTATGTGTCACTTCCTCAAAACCCCCCAATAACCGACCTCTCCAATTCCTTTCCATGGCGTTCAAGTGGTTCGCATAGACTATTCAGCCATTACCCTTCCTTTATCCTCGGCTTTGGATTGATTTGCGCTCCCATTGCCCCACCAAACGCTGCAAAATGAAAATGAATACAGGATGAAGATTGTTATGAGAAGGGACACGGCCTTCAGTTGGAATGCGTAATGCTCTCTGCAGAATGTCATAGTCATCTTAAATTGAAATGTATTTGGTATTGGTTCAGCCCGTTAACGCAAATCATACAAAACGATGATGTAAATAATTCTATCGAACGTCATTTTTTGCTCTGAGCTGACAAACGAGATGGAAGCATAACCATCGCTATCAGAGGTGATACGAACATTGGTAAAGCGTGGAAACCGTAAATTGTCTATTTCGTGGTGGAGGAAGTTTCCTTTGTCAACAAGTAATTTTTGTATCCATGATGAATGGCTGTTCATGGCTATTTAATATGGAAATGTAAACAATCGTATTAATAATCTAATTTAAATTATTTGCTAAGCATCCTTAAATTGTTGTCTTCTGCGCCGTGTGTGTCAGCCATATGGATGCGCATCAGTTGCTGACGAATGCAACCAAAATGAAATCATCCGAAATTCGACAGCATATTGTTAAAGGGCTCGAGCAATACAATAATCAGTCGAAGTATTGCGGATGTTTTCGTTCAGTGTGGGTGAGTGTGATCGAATCGCTAGTAGTTACAATGTGCGAACAAGCGGCTCGGCAACTTTGATCCAGCCAGCGTTGTGAACGGCGGCAAGTTAGCTGAACTCCCGATCAAAATTTTTATTCTACTTCTGAATTTGTATTGCACATGAATGACGATGATGCTTTCAACGAAAAAGTTGATGCGCAGGACTTAGGCTGTTAATGGGAGGAATGGCTTGGATTCCAAAATGGTGGTGGATGTCTATTTTCCACTTCCTTTCATCGAACCCATTCCGTAGATATCCATATTGCATGGGTTGAGATGCATATTCCCTGTCCGAAGGCCGCCATATTGGATTTTGGTCCACCATATTGAATTCCTCAATGGTGGCGGTTGTCAATTTTCCACTTCCCCTTATCGAGCCCATTCCGTAGATACCCATATTACATGGGTTTAGATGCATATTCCCAGTCCAGGGGCCACCATATTGGATTTTGGTCCACTATCTTGGATTCCAAAATGGCAGCGGATGTCAATTTTCCACTTCCTCTTATCGAACCTATTTTGTAGATACCCATATTGCATGGGTTTAGATGAATATTCCCTTTCCAGGGGCCACCATATTAGATTTTGGTCCGCCATATTGGAATCCAAAATCGCGGCGGATGTCAATTTTCAATTTCCCCTTATCGAGCCCATTCCATATTGAATTTTGGTCCTCCATCTTGAATTCCAAAATGACAGGGGATGTCAATCAAGGTTGCAAAGACTCATTTCAGCTAAAATAATGTTTTTCGGAATAATAAAACCAAAAGATGGTATGATGGCATGTTTTACTTGTAACATACAAGAAGAGGTTACAAAGTATGCGTTGGAAACATAAAACCTGTAAATTTTGCTTTCTATGAGTCACAATCAGCGATTTGCTGATCGCTGAGTGAGTGAGTGAGTTTGTGAAAAATCGCTGATTGTGACTCTCATGAAGTGAAATAAACAGGTTTAATATGTCAAACACATTCTTTGCAACCTCTTCTTGTATCCTACCAATTCAAAATTTGATCATGGCATCTAATTATTTCATAATTTAGAAAAACATTGTTTTAGCTGAAATGAGTCTTTGCAACCTTGATGTCAATTTCCCACTTCCACTTATCG